AATCCGTAATCTGATTACTGTAATCCGTAATCCGTAATCCACGTCATTAATTTATCCCAGTAATCCAACAAGTAATCCACATTATTTCAGAAACAAAGTAATCCCAATCCAGTAATCCCCTGATAATTTTTAAATTAATTAATGTGTAATCCGTAATCCATCGAAATTGTTGGGATTGCCCATCCCTGCATGGCAATCATTACATTGCAATTTTTACATTGCAATCCTTATAACACATTATCATTACATAGCATTATCTCTGCATGGCTTTATTATTACATAGCATTATCATTACATAGCTTTATCATTTCATAGCATATTCCCTTCGAATCTGTCAGCAAATGTGCACGTATAAAGCCAAATAAAAACTCAATTCGACCAAATAATAAGAAAAATGGCTTTTTAGTCATTCTCAATTTAAATTCTTAAAAACAGTGCACTATTTTTCAGACCTTGCAAACCTGCGTGAAAGTAGTTCCACAATTTTCTGAGGTAAATTAAATCCAACCAAACGGTCCTACAGCGGTTTGGTTGTCTAATCCATCAAAACCGTCATATCGAGCTGTAATTTTACATGGAAGTTGCTTATGGCTCTTAATGGAAGATTATGAGTTGAAATATTAGAAACATTTTCATAGGTATGAAAATTTTATGGGCTGACCCCCACCGATTTTCAGAAATTAACTTGAAAAGCTGAAATTTGGAACAGTGATTCTTGTTCAAATTCTTGCATATAGGAGGGTTGAATTTCGAAATTTTTGTATGGGCGACCTCCACTGATCACGGGAAGTATTTAAGGGTAAAGGATAGCAAATATTTTTAGAATTTGGAGCCAAGCAATACGAAGAATTGATGCTAGGTAATGTAATAATTAGTGCAAAATAGTAGCACAAAATTTTTCAGAAAACTACACTCTTAAAGACCTGGTGTTAATCGTCACCGAACGAGTGCATATGTGACGTCACCGTGCGGTAATAATGTGTGTCTCACCTAACGGTTGTAAAGTTAACACCAGCCAGTGACAATTTGTCACCATGCGAACAACGTTTCTCACCATGCGGCGAAAAACATTATCACCATTTGGTCGAGTCAAATATGCACTCCGTTCGGTGACGATTAACACCAGGTTTTTAAGAGTGTATTGACAAACGGGGGTTTACTAATCAATCCTTTGGCTAAGCAAAACCTGTCCTGATAGGTTTGAATATAATTGTTAATACTTTTATATATTATGTTTGACACCAAATAATATTAACACCTTGGTTCATGGAATGAGTGTGTCATAACACAGTTGAAACATGTATATGTGTAATGAAGATGATATGTAGCTTTCATGCAATGTAAGGATGATGTTATGTAAGCATAATGTTATGTAAAGACATGCCATGTAGTGATCGTGCTATGTAGTGATAAGGCTATGTAAGGATAAACAATGTAAGTCACCGCCATGTAAAAATTGCAATGTAATGATTTCCATGTAAAGATTGCCATGTCTGGTCCGAGGACCAATCATAAGCTGTCATTTAAATTACCAAGTCGCCAACCAGTTATTAGAAGAAAAATATACTTGAGTGAAAATTAGAATAAATGACTTCAATTTATGGCTTGGCTGAAAGAAAAACATTGGGGCATAAAAACGGCGAGGAAAACTGAACATATAGAAGAAAAATCAGCAGATGTCAATTGTTGAGCCTGATTATAAATTATTAAGTCAAAAGATAATGTTAAGAAAATTTAAAGACCTCCTAAATCTCAAATCAGTGATCCCAAAAAGTTATCATTTATGATAAGTGGCCACATACCTAATTTGTATATACGTCGTGTCATATTTAATTTGAGAAGTATATAATTTGTTAAGAATGATAATAATCAACTCTAGCTAACATAAACTTATTTCGCGATTATTATCTTTTTTAACAAGTTATATGCTTCTCGAAATAAATATTTGTTAGAGTTGATTTCACACTTTCAGATTGCTTGTTGTTTCTCACTCTCCTGGAAAAACTCGGAGTTTGGAGAAGGGCCCTTTTTTATTTGACGAATGGACGACGACGACGACGACGACGACGAATGGAGAAGGCTCTTTCCTTATTTAACACAAAATGGCAATAGCTCTTTTCCATCCTTCAACGACGATATGTATGTTAGCATGTGAAACTAAGCACAATTTGCTTTTCACCATTCTTAAAAATCGGTTGAAAAAGTCTGAAATATATCGTCGTCGAAGTTGCATTTTGTGCTAACTAATCAGAGGTCGACGCCGACAAATTTTCGGCGGCGGCGGCGCCAGTTTTTGGCGATTTTTCGGCGGCGTTGCCGGCGCGGCGCGGCGTCGCAATGTTAAAGGAATAGGAAATCAAATTTTTCGGCGGCGGCGCGTAAAATGAATCGGCGTATGACGTTAATCTTAATTCGATGATATATAAGTATGTACAATTGGGTGTCTTGTGGAAGAAGACGATAGTGGGCGGATAATAAAGTTATAATTAATTTCACAAATGTCGAAATTTATCATTGTGGCAGCCTTTATCCTGGGTCTCATTGGCCTTGATACAATTTCAGATGTTTGGACCATTTAAAAAATTCCTTAACCATTCTTTCTACTGAGGATTGTACAGAAAATGCCTCTGGTAACAATACAATGATTATAAGAAGTTTTATTATGAAAAATTAGTGCAGAGGGACGCCAAGTTTAAGGGAAGTACTGGTATATCTTCCTTTTCACAAGTCAACTTAAGACTCAACTTAATCTCAATCTCAATCAACCTCGACTTTGTAGAGGACGATTATTTTGCTTACATCTCCTGTCCAAACATCATACTTCTGTTCACTGATTGTTATGGGTTACCAAATAGTTACCAAGATATGTACCAAATAGAGAATATAGAATATGGGAATTAAAGCACATTTTTGTTAGTGGCAGCCCCTTCCCTGCAGGGACATAGCTGATTTTTCTAAGATTCCCTGATTTATACGCACTTTTGTTATTGGCAATTAAATAATTTATGACGCACTGTTTATTTACCTTGGTAGTGGTAAATATGATGTAAATGAACTTAGGTGAATGTCATTTGAACTCAAACTATAAGCACAAAATGGGATTACTGTCAGAATGTTGCGGATTTCCCGCTAGTCTAGTTTAATTAACGTTGACTCACCTGTGAAAGCTCCCTACCATTTTCATGTATGACGGTGTGGGCGCAATTAATAAACATTAATCTAGTATGTTGACGAAATAAATAATCGCACTGGGTTATAAGTAGGTAGATTTCCTTATCCAAAACTCCAGTATGAAGTTTACACCTGCCCAGGTGGAACAATCATCAAACATAACTACCGAATTAATTGATCCCTCCATCACGTAATCTATAATTTCTTTGCGATTATGTAAAGGGTCAATGTAAATAACTTTCTACAGAAATCATGGTTCTTTACTTTAAGACGTATTCTTTCAGTATAAAACTTAACATTACAAGACTGTGTATCGAATATCGTAATGACGTGTGATGCTTTGGTAATGCATGACACATTATTTGCTGAAATTTTGAAGTTTTACGATTCGTCGTTGAACCATATCGAAGAGAAAAGACTAAATCCCGATATATGTAGCGTTGTGATTGGTCAGAGCGTTCTGGGTTTCTAGGTCATGAAATCGGGTGAAACATAGTAAATGCAACCAAGCTAATCCAAGTATTTATTCAAGTATCCCGTCAAGTACCTTCTGACGAGGATTATCATGAAGTGAGCTTTATTCAATCATTCTGTATACAAGCTAGTCTAACTTACATATCGTTAACTAACCTAGCCTAAACCTAAACTGCAGTTCTGTGTAGAATTCTGATCAGGATCTTCTGGATGATGATTTCTTCTTTGCTTGCTGGTTTTGCTGGGTAGAGTTTGGCTGCGAAACTCTACTTCTGTTTCTCTGTAAACTCGGGTACGGCGACACAGTTACATACCTACTCTCCTTAGAACGGAAGAGAAAACTCCGTATATAGGTATCTTACCGAGTATCGAGGTAACGGAATATAGCACTATTATGTAAATGTGGAAGAAAAAGAGTAACGAAAAAATGGTGGGTGTGGTGTAGTGTTGGGTATGGTGCAGGCATGCTGACCTGTTTTGGCGTCTGGTTGACCTTCTTAATTATATACAGAAAACAAATATTAGCAACTGAAACATAAATTCCGTTTATAGGTGAATACACCTCAAAAGAGAATTTGTTTATATTAAATGGTTGAATAACATTTTTCTTGAATATTTGAAAGAATAATTAGAATACAATAACGCCAAAAATTTATGATAAGAAATTTCAAAGTAAAATTTATAATAATATATTTATTTATCGTTATAATTTGTGAATTGTAAAAGTTTTAAAAATTTACATCGTAATATTCGAATGAAATAAAGATATTAAGCATGCATTTGACAGTGATCGTTATATAAATCAAGGTAACATTGTGTGTTGATAAACTGACAAAATTTTATTTGCAAAAACTTGTGGCAATTTTCATGACATGAAGCTGACTGTGTTATAATTGGACAGCAGTGTTTGCAAATTGTAAGTATCACAGTAAAATTCAGGGGGTGAATAAATTATCAAAATTTCAGTTGTAATGGATTACCATTAGTTGTACCGGATTTTTTTAGTGTTGTACTGTTGCAATTTGGGGGTCGAAAACTGGTCCAGATATTACATTTGAATTTTTGGATAATGTATCCATCCGAACCGAATTCAAATCATTCGGTTCCGTTTGGATATTTTTTTAACATAAAATATTCGAATTCAGTTCGGATGGATTCAAAAAAGTATCCAATCGATTCTACTCTGATTCGCGTTGATTTCTAAGAAATGCATGCATAGCAAATCGTCGTATATGTAAATTAAATGGCACAATCGTTATTTTGAAAAGTAATTAAACTCGCACATTTTCAGATTTTTTTAAATAACAGTCTTTAATGATATAACAATAATTTTGAACTGAATAGCTGGAAGGGGTTAAAAATTTCAAAGATGAACAATCTTAAAATTTTATTGCTTCATAAGTCAAAATCTAATTCCCACGTTTTCCAAAATTCCGGTGTCACGCATTCCTAAAAGGATCTGAAATAGTTCAATGAGGGTATTCGTTATTTCTTCGTATCCTTAGTATTGTAAAATAGCTTACGAAGATAAAACAAGGGGTCGGGTTTCGTAATAATCGAAAGCGTAGCAACGTGATTTTTGATAAGGAAATCTTACGACGCTTACAAAATCTCGTAAGCGTCGTGAGTTATTTTACGACACGAAGAATACTAAGGATACGAAGAAGTAATGAATACCCTCAATATAAGTAAATACATACTTCACCTTTCTCATTTTTTAAGTTAGAACAAATGAATACATAAAAAAATGGGCGATCTTTTCCACAATTTTGAAAATGAATTAATTTTGAACGAGTTAATATTACTGAATTTAACAGCCATGGTCGATAAAGGTGAGCCAAGCAAAACCCTTTATCCACAACATAGCTTACTAAAAGATGTCAAGAGTATCAATATCTCAATATCCCAATTACTTATCAACCTTACACATCTAACTAATTTATAAATAATCCAATTAATTTGACATTAATTAAATTGTGATTGATTGACCCCAATTGCGTCAAAATATAACACGACCCGCTGGGGGACCTCCGTTTTCAATGTGCTCAACTCACCATAAGGAGGCAATAGAGTCCAATGGCTGAACAGAAATGCCAAATGTCGTGCTTGTCATAAAAGTCCAGGAATTCGTAATTCGCATTTAATTCTCGTGAGTACGCCGGACTAAGATTCCATTGTGACTCGGGAAACGCGAAGTAGTACATCCCCACTCCCATGAGCACAACGCCGCAGAAGAGATACACCAAAGGGCGGCGGATGAGACGCAAAGTCCTCTTCCTGGTCGGTTGGTCGGCCTGAAATAATATGCAAGTAAGCATACAATTAACATCTGAAATTACACGATAGGACGAATTTCAAAACATACCCTAAGACATGAAACCATGCATCAAAAACCAATCCGAAACATAGCAAATTCATCGTGCAGGGTACTGATTTAATTCGTCTGGATTTCTCCAATATTTGAAAACATGAACTTAGAAAACGGCGAAAACTTTTAGATAATTTTTTGGTTGCAGATAGCTACATAGTCTTTCGAGAATTTGTAATAAGCTGACGTACCTTCCAAAAGTAGGACACTATCGGAGAATTTAGGTAGACGAGGACGTTGGATATAAAAATGTATAAAATGTAGGTCGACACCCACAAAGACATTTCCCAGGCAGCCACTCCAACAGCTATTTGAACCAGAATGCTGACCAGTTGCTCCAAAACTATCGATGTTGAGTTGGACCCTGTCCGATTAATTTAAAGTCATTTAAGGTCATGAGCTGTCGGCACTATGGTTTGTATTTTATATTAGACCCTTTTATCTATAAGACATGAATATTTAGGGAAGAAAGGGTCTAACTTAATTTTAAAGTTTAAGATACAAACCATAGATTTAGATATTGTTTGGATATACAAATAGGAAAAAACATTAAAGGACTAGTCTCCATAGGACCATTCATAAATTACGCACTTCATAAATTCATAGTTTATGATGCATAATTCATAAATTCATAAATTACGAATTTCTGTATTACGAGACATTACGTGAATTATTGCCTTTCTTACCATCACAACTTTTCCATCGACAGACGCAAACTACGACACAAATTATGCCCTGGATAACGGTCACGACTATTTTCATCTCATCTGGCTGGATGACGATGAAGACTTGCAGAAGTGATATTGCCCCCAGTGCGAAGAAGATGATGAAGCTAGAGAGAAAAATTTATGTTATGATCTCTCTAAAAAATAATGCCTTTAAATAAATAAATCTATTCATAATTACCGTAAAACCTCTATTTATAGCCCTATTGTAGAACGCCCGACTAATCTCTACCCGAGAAAACGCTTCTACTTAATGTGTCTCGGTTGAAGTTAATAAGAGCCCTTTCTAATGTGAAATATAACGTATTATTATTCGTTGATGGAAATAATACACTTTCAGAGGTCGTATTGTTAAATAACAAACAAACTACTACTTTATTAAACAATTTTACTGGCTAATTGTCAACCCAAAAATAACTACTTTCACGACTTAAAATTCCACACCTTCACTACTGCGTGTCTGCTTGGTAAGTAAAAAGAACGGCGTGCTCTCCATATACTTAACACACTAAAAAGAATAAAGAATAACCTCCAATCCAATCACACCGCTCCTTTCAAATCTGGGAATTTGAGACACTTTGTCTCCTTAACTTTTTACATAAAAATTCATACATACAGCTTTTAACATTCTCCCACCTCTTTTGTGGAAACAAAAGAACATACATACATATTACATCAATATTTACATAAATAAAACACTTCCAAAACGCACGGGCTTCTTTACTTCTCGTCCTTGTCTCGTTCTCTGGACTGGTTCCAATTCTGTCGTCGTCTTCAGAGCTTCTTGCACTGCTCTCACTATCACTTCCGGTTTCAAAGTCTCGGCTTCCACTTCCGATGAGACTTCCAGTGGGTAAAGCCGCTGCAGTGGTCGAATCCCGATTTCGTTCAACGTCTTCACTCTCGCGAGCCTGACTTTTCCATCTTTTCCTGGCAGGAACTCCACAATCTTCGCCATAGGCCAGTCCAGCCTCTTCTTCCCATCAGCGCCCACAAGGACCACATCCCCAACGCGCAAATCTTCCAACTTTCTCTCGCTTGACTTTTGCACAAGGAGAGATAAATACTCTTTCCGGAATCTCGACCTCAATTCCTCTCTCAGGACGACAATTCCCCTCGACTTCTTCCGTAATTCGTCTCCTGACAATAATTCTGCTTCTGGGAAGGCGCTGCTCTTAATCTCTTGCAGGAACATTGCAGGAGTGAGAGGCACCAAGTCACCACCATTCTCTGTGACATAGGTCAGAGGTCTTCCATTGACGACCGCCTCCACCGAACACACACAAGATTGGAGCTGGTCATAGTCCAATCTACGGCTCCCCAACATTCTCTTCAACAAGTCCTTCACATTTCTCACTAGGCGTTCCCACCACCCTCCCCACCAGCTTGCCGTGGGAGGGTTGAACTTCCACTGGATTCTTCTGTTTCCGGTTTCTTTCACAATCCTTTTCCAATCCATTCCTTTAAACAGGTTGGCGGCACCCACGAAATTCGTGCCATTGTCACTGTAGAGCGTTGTAGGTCGACCCCGTCTTGAGATGAACCGCTCTAATGCCAATAAAAACGCCTCCGTACTGAGTGCAGTGACCAGCTCAAGATGTACACAGCGGTACACTGCACAAGTAAACAAACAAATCCACACTTTCTGTCCATTTTTCAAAAATAGTGGTCCTGCCAAATCCACGCCGGTGCGGGGACGACTAAGGGGATGATCACTAATTGTAAGTTTGGGAAAGTCAATAAACTATGCAAACAAAAAGATGGCTTAATGGTTTTGGTTCGATCATATTTATTATCCGTGTTAACGCTACCATGGGATCGATAAGTAACTGGTGGATAGTGGGTAAAAAAAATTCCCGTTTTTTGATGACATGCTATCAGGCTTCCTCCCTTGGCCGGTTCTCAACGGCGAAGAAGGGGCCAGTAAAATCATGTTTCCAAAAATTGGCCAAAAAATGACAACTGCTTTTTATGATGAAAATATTACTTTAAAATAATATTTAATATTTTGATAAAGTAAAAACGCGAAAGTTTTCGATTTTACAAAACGAGAGCAACATCCGTTTGACTAACCGTTTGTTTGCTCCATTCACTTAAAATTGAATTTGGAACAGACAATCGACTTGTGAAACAGAAAAATAATGGACGCGTTTGTACTTTGTCAAAATATTAAATATTATTTTAAAGTAATATTTTCATCCTTAAAAGCAGGTGTCATTTTTTGGCCGATTTTTGGAAACATGATTTTACTGCCCCTTTCAGGGTATGGAGAACCCCGGGGTTTTGCTATTGAAAACACATACCCCGGGGTTTTACCTGGGTTTTGCGAGTAGTCGGGGTTTTGGGGGCAAGTTGAGTCAGTGTCTCATGTATTAAGTTCAGAAATTAATGAAAAAAATCAGTTTTTCAGTAATTTCGCAATAAAACTGCTTATTAATTATATTTTAATAAGTAATAGAATTGCTAGCAATACCCTGTGTTATCATATTTTTTAAAAGTTGAAAACCCAGACTACCCCGACTACCCGTGGATATTGCTCAGATTTGCTACCCTAGAACCCTCCAAAACCCGCAATACCCCAATACCCAGAAAAAACGGGGTAGCATACCCTGGCCCCTTTTTTCGCCCGTCCAGAACCAACCAAGTGAGGAAGCCTGCACACTACATGCATATATTCCAAAACATGTATTTTAACAATTCAAAAATGAGAAGAAATACAAATCGGAAAACCTCTCGATAATTACCCATTTTTTTAAATCTCACCTCCCACTTGTATTCGTAAATTGACCAATTATTGGCAACCGAACGGAAAAACTATCCTTATTGTACTCCACGGTTACCATAATTGGACACGCCTCAACGCCCCAAGTCTCATTCAGATTACCGGCACCAATCTCCAAATAAACCGTCACATTGTCATCCTACCCAAATTAACAATTACCCATTAAGAAGGATTCATTAATCAAGGAAATTATGTACATAAATTTCTCCAAATTTTGTCGCCTCCGTGTAAAAGTCGTAGTGGAAGATTTTGACCTCGTTTGCCTGAACGCTAGATGAGTTAGTCTCATTGATGGAGCCTTCAATCAATACGGAATGAGCAGGCCGGGCGCAAAACGTGACCTTGTCAAATACACAAAGCAACAGGACAATCGAAACAAACTGTTTACCAGTGGTGGTAAACATTTTGGAAAATTTTTTTACCAACGTACTGTCCTGATTTTTTATTTATTTTGTATTTTTTGGTATTTTATTTTTAAAAATATAACTAGCTTGAGTTAGAATTGAGGCGTCTGGGTTTGTCAAGCTCAAGGTTAGATCTGATGAACCGAAATGCACCAAGCATTGTCATAACTGGTGACTGATAATTATTTTATGCGCAATTAATCAGTTTAGTCATACTAAACTAAATTACATAGTTTACAACACCAGTTACGATAAGTATTATCAGAATATCGGAACGTTCAATCAGGTTATTTATTTATGTACACAAGTTATCGATTGACAGATAATTATTCCAGCCACGCTTGATCCTTGTTGAGGTCAATGATTTAGAGGTGAAAGGTCATTAAGTTGGTTTCATTAAAAATGCGTAGATTGCAATTGTAATACGAAATTTTATTGACATGCTAGCATACCATTTAAATGGTGTGCATTTTAATTGCAAATAAAATGCATTTTAATTAATTAAGTGGATAGAGTAACATTAAGCCGTTTTATGTAGGTATATTTGTGACATTATTAGCTCACCCTGCGTAGCATAAGAGCTATTGAATTCCCGTCCGTCTGTCTGTCTGTCTGTTAGCGATATTTTTGCATCAATTGATGCTATTTAAAAATCCCCTTGACCATTATAGAATAAGTTAGGCGTACCATTGGTATTGAACAAACCGAATCAAATTTTTTAATAAATTAATAGCACCATTGATATCTAACAATCGGGAACACAAAATGATGCAAAATAATTGGAGGGAAGGACGCAAAACGCACCAATAATGCAGAATATCCGGGAGAAATGATCATACAATTTTGACATAAATTTTTCAAAATTATCGTTGATCGTTGGTAGGTAATTCTGCACCAGTGATGCACAATTTTTGGACCCTTCTCGATGCATAATAATTATTGATCTATTTTGTTTAATTTTTCTGCACCAGCATTGGTGCAACATTGCATAAAAATTATTGATCCACTTTGTTGGATTTTTCTGCACCATTGGTGCATAATTGCAAAAAATTATGTATCTATTTTGTTGCATTTTTCTGCACCTTTGGGGCAAGTTATAACCAAATCATTATTACAGGGTGAGCTACTTCTAACGTTACTACGGTTTATTTATTTATACATAAACGTATGTAAGGGCTGATAATGGAGAGGTTTAAGGGCGTTATGTACCTTCGTCTTATACCGGTCTAATTTTCTAAATAAACCGTCCCATCGTCATCCTATCAAATGAATAAAAAGCAACGAAATTAATACGTAGAATGGATTATATATTACTTAATTTACATATATTTCACCGTATTTTATCGCCTCTGTGTAAAATTCGTAGTGGGAGAATTGCACCTCATTTTGCCCCAATGCTGGATGAAGTATTTTCGTTGATGGAACGTTCATTCAAGTCAAGTACTTAAGTAACTATTTATAGGTGATTGGCTTTCATCCGCAAATAGTTGGGGTGATCTGGCCTGGTACTAAACGTATTTATGTATAGTGCGAACATTAAAATAGGAGTACAATTTTTGAGTACCTGTCAACTATTATCCCTCCTCCTTGACCATAGTTGGTTTGACATAAGTTTCACAATTAGTGGAAAATTTAGGTGAGGAATTGATCGAAATTTTCCTTTACGCGCCGTCGCCACTAGGGGTCGCATCCCCGGGAAAACCCCGTCCGGGATTCCCCGGGGATCGGGGAACCCCGTCGCCGCTTCCCCGAAGCAGAGTAGTCATCTCTCCGGGGAAAATTTAGCTATGGTCAAACGTGAGAAAAATCAATCCGCGTAACTCAAACCTTTATTTTCCCATCTCTCTCGCATGAAACAGCTACCGGTGTATTTATTTGGCTGTTAGTTAATTAATTGTACAAGTTTGACTTATCTGATTAAAATGAGTTCAATCACGGAGACAAATTACATTGAAGTCCCGGGGAAGTCCAGTCAAGTCAATTCAATTTGGCACTACTTTTTGAAAGAGTCCACTGGAGCTACAGCAAAGTGCAAGGATCCGGAATGTAAAAAACCAATTCTGAAGACCTCAGGTGGGTCAACTAAGGGATGTCGGGATCATCTGAAGCGTATACATAACGTAGACCTCGATATCATCAATTTAACCAGCGTTGACCTTGATTCGGGTATGATAAATATTGATAATAAATGTCAACACATGTACTACATACTGAACACAAGGAAGCTAATTACATGAAAATTTTTACTAATAAGTGAAATTTAAATTTGCAGGCCGCCAACGGGAACACGCATCTAAAAAATCTAAACGAATTACGGACTACCTGTCAGTTAAACACGATACCCTTCAGATTGCCTACGCTAGGATGGCTGCGCTGGATGGATTAAGTTTTCAAGTAATGGCAAATTCGTATGATATTCGAGCGGGATTGAAAAGTCGTGGATTTTCTGAAGTACTTTCTTCCCCTAATGCAATCAAATCAAAAGTCCGGAAATTTGCCCAAAGTCTAAGGGACAACGACAGAAAGGAAATCATGCAGTTGAACGAGCAAGGGACGAAGTTTAGTATTACGTTTGACGAATGGACATCCATGCGGAATCGACGGTACCTTAGCGTCATACTTCTTGGAAAACAACAACAATTCTGGAATTTGGGGCTAGTGCCGATTCTGGGTTCCGCCACTGCTGAAAATTGCCTGCAACTTGTTGACGAGAAAATAACAAGCGTCGGATTGAACCTCCATAAGGATATAGTAGCAATTATTACTGATGGGTCATCTGTAATGAAAAAGATTGGAAGGGACGCTGCACCTACATTTCAACAACTTTGTCTTGCTCATGGAATTCAGCTCGCCGTGCTTGATGTCCTTTATGCCAAAGGAGAAAACGTTGGAGATACTGACAATTTAGAGGTATGAACTCCAACGGCTTCCCTAGTGAATATACGATAAGGAATTTTAAACCAATTTCTAATATTTCAGGCCATAGATGAAAATTCCAGTTTCAGTGACGACGAGGGGTCCGAGTTTGTAGAGTACGCATCCCCTGATGATGAGAATGCCGAGACAGATTTTGATTTGACTGAAGAATCTGATGCTCCTTCACTAAATCCAATTCTTAAGCCAATAATTGACAAGATCCGTTCTACTGTAAAGATGTTTCGCAGATCCCCAAAGAAGAATGAAATCCTTCAAAATTATGTGAAGTCAGAATTCCAAAAGGAACTTAACTTAATCCTTGATTGCCGAACCCGTTGGAACAGCCTGGCCGCAATGATCGAAAGATTTCATTTAATTCGAACCTGTATTAAGAAAGCTTTTATCGATTTACGAGTAGCCACCAATTTCGAAGAACAGGAATTTAACTACATATTTCAAGTTATGGAAGCACTGAAGCCAATACGGGCCGCGGTGGAAGTCATTTGCAACCGAGAATCGAATCTAATAACTACAGATGCTGCGCTCAACCTTGTAATTTCCAAACTACGGGCTCAAAAATCCTCGGTTTCACTCGAACTGGCGTCATCCATTAAATTCCGTGTTATGGAAAGGAGAACTGAACTAACAAAGGTTCTGCGATATTTGCATAACCGAGTCTATGCAAATGAAGATGAAGAACTCGCTGACACTATAACTCGAACTGAAGTGCAGAATTTCCTGAAGAAAATGCTAACCCGGACAAGAATTGGAACCGTGGTGGGCGATGAAGAATCGAATGATACTCCTGCAAATGAAGACTTCACGGTGCAACCAAGCGCGGCGGCCACCTTTAAGGACGAGCTAAACGAGATCATGAAGAAAGCTATGACCCCGCCGACAACCGAAAAGTCAAAGAAATCTCAGACCCTTCTTACGACTTTGAGGCAGGAAATGAAACTTTTCGAGGATGGTGGGACTAGAGGTTACAACTTGTCATTAATTTATGATTATTTGCTAACTGTTAAGCCCACCAGTGTTGAATCCGAGAGAGCTTTTTCAGTGTCGGGGTATGTGTGCAACAAGTTTAGGTCCAGGCTATCTGACTCGACATTGGATGATTTGTGCTACCTGAAATCATACTTTAAGCGATCTGCCGAGTAGTAGTTTTGTTTGTTCTTTTTTCAAGAAAATAAATAAACTTGAATTTAAATAAAACTAATACAAATTTACCTACTTTTTTAATATAAATATGGTCAAATTTCAACTAATTTAATAATACGGCAAAGCGGGGAACCCCGGGGAATTTCCCGGGGAACGAGGATTCCCCGATCCCCGGGGAATAAAAAAAGTGGTCCGGGGATGCGACCCCTAGTCGCCACCGATAAATCTTATTTCCTACTCCTTCAATATTGAGACGCCGCGCTGCGTCGAAAAATCCCCTAAATTGGCGCAGCCGCCGTAGGCAAATTGGTCTGCGTTGACCTCTGAAACCAAGACGATAAGGACGACGAAATGGGGCAAATTGATTCTCAGGCGTGGTAATCATAAATAAAAGTTGTCCTCGCTAATTAATTGTTTTCCTTTTAGCAGTATAACGAATCCAAGTTCAACGGGCTTAAGGTCGGCATTTCAATGAACCCAGCTCACTCATGTCTAAAAGTGTGACTGGTAATGATGGAATTTATAATCAGTAAATCCATACTTGGAACCAATTGTGTGCTTAAATGTCATGGAGGCCTTATCATGGAGGCAGCATGTCCAATTAGTTTATATTAGTTGTCTACTTATGTACGTTTTGGGGTGAAAAATTCAGTTAGGTATGTTTTAATACAGATAAATTCATTAGATATTAAAAGGATATTAGATAACTAAATTT